GCCACAGGGTAAATCTGAACTAATATTGCAGGCCATTGTAGCAGATCTTGCTGATTGACATGCACAATTCAACAATTTTAGAGGACTTTACCTTTTTTTCCAGTTTATCAGAAATTCTTCTGATGCTTCTGGTATTTTTCTGCATTTTTTCTTATATAGATGGACATCATATGTGTTATTTCCCTTTTCAGAGTTTATTTTGTTCAAAACCTAAATGATAAAAGTGTTTCCATTTTAGTTGCTAATGTTATTTGCATGCTCTCATACTGACAGTGTTATTTTCCATGGGAATAAGAGAATAAATATTGAACCATAGCCAAAACAAGCTCACTGAGAGGAAAGGTTGAGAATCACTGATCTAGATAATGGAATCAGATTTTTTTTTTTTTGTTAAATGTCTCTATGTTGCTTGTGTAGAGTTATAGAAGCTTAAAACATATTCAAGCCTGTTTACTAAATCGTTTTGAGCAAAAGTGAAATTGACATGTTTTAACTAAAGCATGTTATGTCAGACAAGTACCTTAAGTTGCTCATGATTTTTTATTCTCTAAAGTTATGTATGTGTTTTATGTTTTTTCAGTCAGTTATATTTATATTTCTCTACACAGATATACATTACCTTTTAAAGTGACTTTTGCTCATGTGTACACACACACACACACACACACACACACACACACACAATATTTTAATTAGCTATTGTGCTATCGGTAATTCACAACAGTGAAAAGGATATAAGCTTATTACACAGAGTTGAATGTAATAAACACTAAATGAAACATGATAACTTGCTACCTTATATAATTTGCTCAATTTTAGATGCTTTTTAGAATATTGAAAATACTGTGCACATTTTACTGTTACAGTACGAGATTATGTTTGAATTCATCAGATTCTTGTGATTTTGAATCTGACAAATGGCAGCAGTTTAAGTAAAATCTTACTGACAGTTTTAACAAAGATGGGAATATTGATATTACTAAATATCTTGGGAGATGTTGAGAACGGCCTAGGTGGTAATACTACATTTTTATGGAATATGTTCACTTTCTGTAACAGAAATCAGATCCTGTATTGTGCATGTCCAGAGTGAAGGAGGGAGACACTATAGAAATATGTAAAACTCTTCTTTTTTTTAAATATATATAGTGTTGATAGCTCATTTCCTGTAATCTTAAAGTTGAATAAATTTTTTCTTTGATAATGAATGTCTGGAATTATTAAGCTGATGAGCATACAAGCATCAGACTGAAGAAAGCATGCTGTACTACAGTTGGTCTGTACTTGCCAATAACAGGCCATATTACGGTCACGATATCTTTATGTCAAGGTAGTGGAAGTATGTATTTCTGAATAATCAAGTGTGCAGAGATGTACTGTCTCCTGCTTTCATAAGTTTCAGAAAAAGGGAAAGAATCCTAATCACTGATGTGCCAAAGACTGCACTGTGTCTTTACTGTTATAATGACCCTCTATGGGGACACCCACATTATCTTGGATATAGTCATGTTGAAAAGTGAGGCATAAATCTGAGGCCTCATAAGAAACTTTTTTGGCAGCACTGTATTTTTTTTTTTTTTTTTTTTTTTTTTTTTTTTTTGTTAAATGTCTCTATGTTGCTTGTGTAGAGTTATAGAAGCTTAAAGCATATTCAAGCCTGTTTACTAAATCGTTTTGAGCAAACACACACACACACACACACACACACACACACACACACACACACACACACACACACACACACACACACACACACACACACACACCTCTGTACTACAAACAAAATGTGTGTTAGAGATTATTTTTATATTTTAATTAGCTATTGTGCTATCGGTAATTTACAACAGTGAAAAGGATATAAGCTTATTACACAGAGTTGAATGTAATAAACACTAAATGAAACATGATAACTTGCTACCTTATATAATTTGCTCAATTTTAGATGCTTTTTAGAATATTGAAAATACTGTGCACATTTTACTGTTACAGTACGAGATTATGTTTGAATTCATCAGATTCTTGTGATTTTGAATCTGACAAATGGCAGCAGTTTAAGTAAAATCTTACTGACAGTTTTAACAAAGATGGGAATATTGATATTACTAAATATCTTGGGAGATGTTGAGAACGGCCTAGGTGGTAATACTACATTTTTATGGAATATGTTCACTTTCTGTAACAGAAATCAGATCCTGTATTGTGCATGTCCAGAGTGAAGGAGGGAGACACTATAGAAATATGTAAAACTCTTCTTTTTTTTAAATATATATAGTGTTGATAGCTCATTTCCTGTAATCTTAAAGTTGAATAAATTTTTTCTTTGATAATGAATGTCTGGAATTATTAAGCTGATGAGCATACAAGCATCAGACTGAAGAAAGCATGCTGTACTACAGTTGGTCTGTACTTGCCAATAACAGGCCATATTACGGTCACGATATCTTTATGTCAAGGTAGTGGAAGTATGTATTTCTGAATAATCAAGTGTGCAGAGATGTACTGTCTCCTGCTTTCATAAGTTTCAGAAAAAGGGAAAGAATCCTAATCACTGATGTGCCAAAGACTGCACTGTGTCTTTACTGTTATAATGACCCTCTATGGGGACACCCACATTATCTTGGATATAGTCATGTTGAAAAGTGAGGCATAAATCTGAGGCCTCATAAGAAACTTTTTTGGCAGCACTGTATTTTTTTTTTGTATACGTATATACAGGATGGCAAATAAGATGTTATGCATCACCTGATCTCATAAACACTAACATTTGTGCATTGTACCTTTTATCATTTGTGTTACATTTTTTCTCATTTTTCATCATTGCTGTAGTAATCATCTACAATTAGTGTCCCTCAGCTTGGTCTTCACTGTTGTATAACAGTGTCTCTTGATCAATATATTCATTGTACTAAATACTCATATCCTTATCATGTACTCCTCTAGCTGTTTGCATTCATCACTGACAAAATGTTACAAATGAGAATATCCACATTCATCCTCATTTAACAACCATTCTCCATGGTTACATGGCTTAACTTGCAAAGTTACCATATACTGTTCTTCTCTACAGCATATAAGTTAAATTCTGAATAAAAATCGTATAAGGATCAAATAGCAAAATTAACGGTTGAATATTAAAATGTGATCCTTATCTGTTTGTTACTTGATGAATTGTGCTTTATGTGTTTGGGAATGAAATCCAAGTATTCATTTTCCCAAGTGACAGATTTGCATCATGTAACAACTGTCCTAAATGTGACATATTTTTGTATGTATTTTGGTAGCTTTCAGATAATGATACTCATATGAGGCCCAGGATTTATGGGGAAAAAATCTGTGTAATTTATCTTTTGTATGTAATATACCTCTTTAAATCACTTATATTTAGTGGTTCATAATATTTGGGTGTCTATTATAACATATGTAACTTACATGTTGAATAAATGATATCTTTACAGGTGTTTGTTTCCATATCATGTTGGCTATTCATAATTTTTTGAGTTACTAATGATCATTCTCTCCCCTTTTAAGCATGCTAAAAGAGAAAGAAAGGGGCAAAGAGCAAAGAAAAAGACAGCAAGATACAGAAAAAACAAAGAGAGCATTAGAGTGACAGAAAAGAAGTAGTAGGTACACAGACAGACAGAGAGAGGATGTTAAGCCTTAAATATGCAACCACATCAAAATTGATAGTGTAATAATCAAGATCTAAGAATATTTTCCAGTAAGTCTGAGTAATAATAAATCAACCAAAAATCTTATAATGGTTGCACAGCATTCTTCAGATGGAAATACAGCATCTTTTGAGATACTGGATATCAATGAGTGAAAATAATAAACTCATGAAGGAGATAACAAACACATGTCTCAACAAGGTTAAATAATAGCCATTAGGAATGTAATGAGAAAAAGTAACAAATATCTAGGGCCGGCAATTCATATGAAGATGGAACTATAATTAAAAGAAAATTGAATTAAAAGAAATATGTTAGAATTTGAGGGGGAAAGGTAATCTGGGTGTAATGGAAGAGTAAGCAGCTAGATAAAAGGCAAATCCACAGAAAGGAAAAATACAGAATATATGGAACAATTGGTGATGGAAACAGGACTGCTAGAGATACACAAAGTGAAGGTTGTATGGTCGATGAGTGAGAGCAGGAGGCTGCAACTATGCAAAAAGAAGCAAGATTCAGACAAATGGTTCTGACACAGGAGAGAGAGAGAGAGAGAGAGAGAGAGAGAGAGAGAGAGAGAGAGAGAGAGAGTGTGTGTGTGTGTGTGTGTGTGTGTGTGTGTGTGTGTGTGTGTGTGTGTGTGTGTGTGTGTGTGTGTATGTGTGTGTGAGAGAGAGAGAGAGAGAGAGAGAGAGAGAGAGAGAGAGAGAGAGAGAGAGAGAGAGAGAGAGAGAGAGAGAGAGCAATGACTTGGCCTGTTTTGCAGCTTTATGTAATAGAAAGGAGCATTTTTGGAGAAAGGTGTATTGGGATGAGAATGACACTGTGTTGATATATCAAGCCTGAATTCAGTTTTCCCAACATGTTTGATATTTTCTGAAAAATATTTAGGTCTACATACAAAAACCCTCTGAAGTTAACTATCATTTTTTTATTTCTGGTTTGCATCACGGACTGGAATATACTTTCCTTAGAAGTTCATTTAAAATGTCAAGCTATATGCATAGTCTTTATGTTGTTATATATATATAAAGGTTTTAGCATAAATAAAAAGAATATTTTAACTAAGGGCCTCTTCAGAAACGAAAACCAATCCAGGAATCATCCTTAATATTCAACCCAGAAAAATGTCAGGGAGTAACTGTTACTCCTTAATTTTGTCAATAATGACTTTTTTTTTTTTGGACGGAGTTGAGATGGAGGTGTTCCACGCACCTTAGGGCTGTCCTTATGTCGCCCTTATGAGACACAGACATTGCTACAATTTGCTACAGTCTCTCTCTCTCTCTCTCTCTCTCTCTCTCTCTCTCTCTCTCTCTCTCTCTCTCT